TTATGTGCTCCATTTCACCAGAGGATGGAACAGATCTTCTCTAGGTTTTACACAAAAGTCAGGAGAATAGCAGCCAGGCAGGAGCTGTGACTATGCGTAAGTGGCTTTAGCTTTCAATGGAGAAAGAACAAATTCCATGTAACAGAAAATAAGCAGGGCCTGAGTAGAGAGCTCAGTTTCTGAACCTCCTGCCTAGAATCCCTTAGTCATGTGGGGGTGGCAGCAGTATTCAATGGGGTAGTATTCAATGGGGGATTTTGTATGTGAGCTGGAACTGGTCTGTGACCAAAATAATAAATTCATTCGTTCAATGGGGGTAGGCACTTTGCATATGCTCAAAGCCATCTTCTTTCTCACATCCCAGCATAAGTCATGGCTGAGTCCAGGCACTAAGAGCAAGCATGAAGACTCAAACCAAGGAAGACTGTCCATAAAAATGTCTATAATTGATGGTACTCAGTGACCTTCAGGATGAAGCCCAAGCCCCATAGTGATCCTAAAACCACAGGGAGATCATGGTGCCTGCAAATATTGATATTAAAATTGAACTATGGCCATATGCACTTCTCTCCTCCGAAAACGGGACCATGCAATTCTTTCCTACTCCTTAATGAGTCCCAAAGAGCATTGTTAACATCTATGGTGCAGTCTCCATCTCATCTGCTACCACAGAGCTCCTACCAGAAAGGTCCTCAGATAAATGCTCTGCATCCATGGTGATGTAAAAATAATGCCACCAAGAGTAATTATGATGTCATCCGAACTGAATGGATTTGAAGTCCCCAGGACTCTCACAGGGATTAGCACACATAAGGCCAATTTGGGAGACGCTATGCACCATCCCTAGTGCTTCCTGCTCAATGACATGGTTGCCCTGTGTGGGGCCTCCACCATGTCAGATTTCAACTCTAGAAGGAACTCTCCTCTACAGGAGACAATTTCCTCCATATAGAAAACTAGATGCAAGAGAGAACAGACGTTTTGTCTTCCATCTGAAATGGCAGGAATCATCCCTGTAGGACTTTCTCTCTCTCTCTCTCTCTCTCTCTCTCTCTCTCTCTCTCTCTCTCTTTCTCTCTCTCCTGCGATAAAAAAAATGATAAATTCCAGTGATGTGGATTTAAAACTTCAGTTGCAACTAGGCCCAAATTAGGTCTGAAATACTAGGGGATTGTTTGTTTCGTTTATTTAGGAAAGCGTTTATATATTGTCAGTTAGTACAACGGAACATGGCTGTGTACAACAATGTATACGATAAAATCTAAAACACCATAAAAGCCATAAATAATGCTCATTATAGCAACTGCATTAAACAGTTACGTAGGCCTGTCTACATAAAAAAGTGTTGGCAGAGTTAGTAGATATTGAATGCTTTATTAATTATCCCTGCTACCAACATGTGTTTTCCACAGGAGTTTTAGAAATCATCGTATGGAGGGAATCAGTTCTGAGTGACACCAGCAGGGAAAGCGAGCTAAGAGCGTCTTGCTAGTTTCAGATTGGCATATTGTTTGGCAGCAGCACACTGCTTTGTGAAGTTTCCTCCTCCCAATCTACTCTCTGTGGATCATTTGTAATCTTGCAAATACTTGTTTTTAAGTGTGTCGAGTGTACATGCAATATACCTGAGTGGGGAGGCGATATTTGAAAACTCTGGTAATTTGCATTGAAAGACTTGTGTGAAACTTGCATTTCTTGGGTATGAAAATGAAGTGAGTGGATTCCCCCCCTAGGTGCTGAAAAGTGGTTAATGAAGAGTGGAAACTTGAAGAGAAGTTCATGTTCGTAGAAGTAAGAAGCACAACTATTAAAAAAAACAACCACAATGGTATGACAAGAGTTTATTGACAGTGATACTGGATTACACAACACATCTCTTTACATGTTAGAAGAAAAGCCCAAAGAGATAATTGATAGTGGAATCTATATAAGTTTGTCATTGCTCTAACATCTCAGCTGTGGGGGGAAATGAGATTACCTATTTATTTATATTTACCTATTTATTTACTTCATTTTTACTCCACCTCAAGGTATGTACAAGACTAGACACACACACACCAAAAAAAAATTGTTTGTTTAGTCATGTCCGACTCTTCGTGACCCCATGGACCAGAGCACACCAGGCACTCCTGTCTTCCACTGCCTCCCGCAGTTTGGTCAAACTCATGCTGGTAGCTTCGAGAACACTGTCCAACCATCTTGTCCTCTGTCGTCCCCTTCTCCTTGTGCCCTCCATCTTTCCCAACATCAGGGTCTTTTCCAGGGAGTCTTCTCTTCTCATGAGGTGGCCAAAGTACTGGAGCCTCAGGGCCCATTAACTCACCAAGAAACTTGTCTGGCTCCTTCAAAAATGGTACCCCCCCCCAACTCACAAAAGTATGTTAACATTATGTTAAGATTGCATTATGTTAAGAAAACTAGAGGGACATCATGCTCCCTGCAGATATTGATATAAAAATGAAGCTTTATTCCTCTCCTTCCAAATATGACCATGCAAGTGTTTTTCCCTCTCAAATGAGTCCCACAGAGCATCGTTAAGTGTAATGAAGATGATGGAATCACCTGCAATTCCTCTGATATCAGGGGGGCACCTCAGATGAACACCCAAAGCAATGGTGCTGTATGAATAAGAATACCCAAAGCAATTATGGTGACACCTGAAGTCAGTGGCTTATTCAGTTATGTGGGGATGGCAGGATTAACCAAGCAATGGGAGGAGATACTTTGCATATGCTCGGAAACAACTTTATTGTATCGCAACGTAAGTCATCAGTGGGTCCAAGCACTAAGAATCATAGAATCATAGAGTTGGAAGAGACCACAAGGGCCTTCGAGTCCAACCCCCTGCCAAGCAGGAAACACCATCAGAGCACTCCTGACATATGGTTGTCAAGCCTCTGCTTAAAGACCTCCAAAGAAGGAGACTCCACCACACTCCTTGGCAGCAAATTCCACTGTCGAACAGCTCTTACTGTCAGGAAGTTCTTCCTAATGTTTAGGTGGAATCTTCTTTCTTGTAGTTTGGATCCATTGCTCCATGTCCGCTTCTCTGGAGCAGCAGAAAACAACCTTTCTCCCTCCTCTATGTGACATCCCTTTATATATTTGAACATGGCTATCATATCACCCCTTAACCTCCTCTTCTCCAGGCTAAACATGCCCAGCTCCCTTAGCCGTTCCTCATGAGGAATCACACATGTGGTTGGTAGATGAGATGTACCATGAGATGTACTCATGAGGAATCACACATGTGGAGCTGGGCCTACATTTTGGAAGGCTTACCATTAAAATGTCTATAATTGATGGTACTTGGCGACCTCCAAGACAAAGCCCATAGAGGTTATTAAACCACAGGGAGATCATGCTCCTTGTAGGTATTGATGTTAAAATATAGCAACGGACATACACATTTCTCTCGTCCCAAAATGGGACCATGCAAGTGTTTTCACCTGCCTCATGAGTCCCACAGGTCATTGTTCACAATAATGGTGTGGTCTCCATCTCATCTACCAACACAGAGCTCCCGTCAAAAAGGTCCTCAGAAGATGTATAAAAATAATTATGGTTTCGTCCAAAGTCCATGGCTTTAATGTCCCTAGAACATCCAAACAGCACACATGGGGCCAAGCAAGAACACTCTCCTCATCATCCCTAGTACTTTCTGCTCACAGAAGTGGTTACTCTGTGTGTGGACTCTACCACATCAAATTTCAACACTTGAAAGGAAAGCTCCTGTACTTGAAAGGAAAGCTCCTGTACAGAAAACAATCTCCCCCATAGGGAGGGGAAGAGAGGGAGAAGAGAGATGTTTAGTCTTCTATCTGACATGGCAAGAATCATATATGTAGCAATCTTTTCTCCCACTTGCCATCAAAAATAGTAAATCCCAGAATGACCGCTCCCCACCTCAAATGGGGGGCGTTTTTTGCGGGGTTGCGTGCAGCCCCTTGATCCTACACGATCCCTGGCAATGTAGCCTGTCTTCGCCTCAGATCTACATTTTCAATTGAAACAAACACAGAGCTGAAATAATAGGTTCTCAAAGTTTCACAAGGTTTCTTGCCTTAACCCTTGCTGTTAATCCAATCTACAAATCTCTAATACTCAGTACAAACAAACAAGCACATTCCTGCAAATAAAGAAGTGTCAAAACAGGGAGTGGGCCATGCTGCAACCCCTTTTCCCTGATGTAGGGATAGGTGAATCAGTCAGTGTCAGTTTATCTTTGATTCTCATTTCTCCAATCTTAAAATCAGGATTCCAGTCCACACAGGAGCCCTCACTTGAACAATACACCATCTCGGCAGTATCCTTTTCCATCATGTCTTCTTCAGCCTGGCTCTATGACCTCCTGGGGGTCTTCTCTGTCATGTAAACTCTAGCAAACTGGTTCTCATAATTTTTTCTCTGGGCCACACTTTCAGAATAAAAATTACTTCACACCACACTGAATTGTTCATTGATAAGAAATACACTGGAAAGGGAAAAGGAACAACTAGCAGTGCTTGATTTATAACATAGAACACAACTACTTCATAATATGCTCATGGGACATCCAGAAAGTATTAAACAATGCAGCTACATAAGACCATGAACTATCCCGAAAATATAATATTGACCGTCCTTGGATCTTCCTGCCACACTTGGCATCCTCTCCTACCATACCAGTGTGGCGTGCCACATCCTTTGACTCATAAGATATGTGGAAAAATAAACTTATAACTGAAGTGACCAGAGGCACAAGGAGAACCAAGAATAAAAGTCTCCATATTACATCAAGCAAAATGTTCAACCAATTCGAAGTTACTTATCCCAAATGTCTGGAGAGAGTTTTACATTTTCTTTTTTACGTATTCTTATTTTATGTATTCAATAAAATCCCACAAAACTGAGACAAAATGTTACCTTTGTTTTCCCTTTCAAAAAAATATGTAGACTACACTTCCTTGGCTCAGAATTACTTATGTGTCTATTTTAATCTAACAGAGAAATACAAATAACTAAGACACACATTCTCTCTTTAAGCACATATGAACTATCACCCTCTTCAAGGTCACCTTTACTTCCTTATTCCTAAGGCTGTAGATCAAGGGATTCAACATGGAGGTAATCACCCCAGAGAGCATGCTCACCATCCTGTCCCGGTCTGGATGGCGGCTGTTGAGAGGCCTAATGTAAGTGAAAATCATGGTACCATAGAAGAGGAGCACGACAATTACATGGGAGGCACAAGTGGAGAAGGCCTTGCGTTTCCCCTCAGCAGAACGGATCCTAAGGATGGTGGAGATGATGTAGATGTAAGAGACCAGTGTCACAAAGAAAGCCCCCACACCTAAAAACCCACCTACAATAAGGACCAACATTTCAGCTGTGTAAGTAGAAGCGCACGATAATGCCTGCACTGGTGCGATGTCACAGTAGTATTGGTTGACTTTATTGGATCTGCAGAAAGGTAGAGTGAATGTCATTACTGTGTGCAGAAGGGAGTTGAGGAACCCTGCGACCCAGGTAACCGCTGCCAGCTGAAGACAAAGCTTCTTACTCATGATAACTGTGTATCGTAGAGGGTTGCATATGGCCACATAGCGGTCATAGGCCATGGCAGACAAGAGGTAGACCTCTGTCCCTACCAGTGCCACCAGGAAGTAGAGTTGTAGCACACAGCCAGCAAAGGAAATGGTATTGATCTCTAACAAGAAGTTCTCCAGCATCTTGGGCACTGTAGCTGTTGGGAAGCAGATGTCCAGCAAGGAAAGGTGGCTGAGGAAGAAATACATGGGGGTGTGCAAGTGAGAGCTAATTCCTATGGCAAGAAGAATTGTGCCATTTCCTACCAGTGTGATCAGGTAGATGAGCAAAATGGCAGCAAATAGGGAGAAGCGAACCGCAGGGAGATTAGAAATTCCCATTAGGATGAATTGTGTCACTAGCGTGCCGTTCCCAATTTCTCCGTTCAGAAAGGAGATTTCCTGGAAGAGTTTGAAAGCATAAGAGACACATAAAGCATGTTGAAGGCCTCTCCTTTTGTTTTAATGGCCCTGAACAATTTTGTATCATCAACAAATCTGGCCACCTGACACCTCATCACTTAGGAAGAAGATTAAAAGCACAGGTCCCAGTAGCGAACCTTGGGGGGACTCTTTCTAAATCTCTCCAGTTGGAGAAGTGTCCCTTTATTCCTCTGCTTCTTTCTAACATAGCCAATTCCTAATCCGCAAGAGTGTTTGCCACCTAGCCAGCTGAAGCCTTCTGGAGAACTCAAACATTTGCTTACCATTTCCTAATATTTTGTTGGGCCTAATACAGTCTTTACTCGAATGTGGGTTTTTAATTTTTTCTGTAATAACTCTCATCTAAGCCATCTTTCTATTCACCTGAACATCCTTTCCAGAACATTCCATATATCACTCCCATTCCATAGATCCTTTCTATTGAGGAGCCTTGCTCCTTCTCTCTGTACTAGCTAAGGGCTTATCTACACTCACCTTTCCTCCGCTCTTTCCAACCACAGTCTGCATTCTAAATCTCCATGTCCAAGCACCGTGTTGTTGTTGTTGTTGTTGTTGTTCCAGAGCAGCGCCTGTGAAAAGCCACTCTCTAAAGCTCAGTAGGAGCAAACAGCAATCTGTGGAGAACCTGAATTGATGTTTGTTCCAATTGAGTGCTAAAGAGCATATTTTCATGAGAAAAACTTCAAGGCAAAAAACGGAGGACATGGAGCTTTTAAGTAGGGACCTGTACCTGGAAAGAGTGGAGCAAAAGATGAGTGTAATTAACCCTTATAAACATTATGTGTTCCCAGCTTCCTTCATCCTTGACCTTAGTCATAACAATACCCCCATTAAACCAATAGCTAATACACACGTGCAATGACTGGCGCATATTCACACTTAAGAATTCCTCTCATCAGCCTTGAGATCAAGGAAGAGTCTGTTCCTCCAGCAGCCCAGCCTTTCCCTTTAAGTCCCAGCATGAGGAGCACAAGGGAATCGCAGGCGCCAGAGCTCTGCCTCAGTGCCAGCAAACATCTCTTTATGTCTCCAATGACCAATGATAAGGCAAAAAGGTGTCCTTGATTTCCCAGCACAATAAACTTCGGGCCTGTGGATAATATTCATTCAAGAAGCTGCTCCCTGTAATATTAAGAGAATGCAATCTATGTTTTATGTCTTCCAATTTACCAAAGTTTGAAACGGTTCTGGTCCAGGCATTCTGCCCTTAGCAGGGGGGCCAACCTGATCAATCCCCCCCCCACAGTTCAGCTACTTCTCTCTTCCCTTAAAGAGCCACATCTGGGGAGTCTTACAATAAGCCCAGTCTATGTATTCTGAGTCCCTCTGAACAAGTGTCTATACTGTTTCTTATAGGGACGCGAGTGGCGCTGTGGTCTAAACCACTGAGCCTCTTGGGCTTGCTGATCAGAAGGTCAGCGGTGGTTTGAATCCCCATAATGGGGTGAGCTCCCATTGCTCTGTCCTAGCTCCTGCCAACCTAGCAGTTCGAAAGCACGCCAGTGCAAGTAGATAAATAGGTACTGCTGTGAGAGCCAGTGTGGTATCGTGGTTAAGAGCGGTGGACTTGTAATCTGGTGAGCCGGGTTTGCTTCCCCGCTCCTCCACATGCAGCTGCTGGGTGACCTTGGGCTAGTCACACTTCTCTGAAGTCTCTCAGCCTCACTCACCTCACAGAGTGTTTGTTGTGGGGGAGGAAGGGAAAGGAGATTGTTAGCTGCTTTGAGACTCCTTAGGGTAGTGATAAAGCAGGATATCAAATCCAAACTCTTCTTCTTCTTCCGTGGTGAGAAGGTAAACAGTGTTTCCGTGTGCTCTGGTTTCTGTCACAGTGTTCTGTTGCACCAGTAGAGGCTTAGTCATGCTGGCCACATGACCTGGAAAGCTGTCTATGGACAAACGCCAATACCCTCAGCCTGAAAGTGAGATGAGCGCCGCAACCCCATGGATGCCTTTGACTGGACTTAGCTGTCCAGGGTTCCTTTACCTGTAGCTTTTTTGCTGTTTCTTATAGAACCAATTCTTATAGAACCAGTTTAAACAAATGCATAGCTTAGCAGATCTCAAGTACATCCAGCAGAGTTGAAATGGATAAGAGTTTTTAATATATAACAAATTGAATGATTAAAAAGATGTGGATTACGTGGAGTAGTAGAAAACCAAAGGAACCAGGAAAAGGGTGGAAGGGAAGTCATATTCAGGTTTTCATGGATTTACCTGGGGAAAGCAGCGAGGCAAAGGGGGAAAGGTGTTTGGACTCTACTTACACAATAAGAGAGCAAGAAGACCATGCATTTAAAGAAGACTGGAACGTGTTTATTGAGTATATGGAAAATAAGTGTGTACAGCTGAAAATGCTGGCAGTGTTAAGATAAATTCAGCAGAGTAAATAAATCTTGATGGATGTAATAGTGGAAAATTGATTTGAATGGTTAATGTAAAATCTGCAGGGATGTAAGATATGTAAAATGAACCATGGAAAGAAGAAATGAAGTTATTGGATATTTTATTTTATTTTTATAATGTTTTTATTCAGTTTTTTCAACTTACATTTATATTCAAATAGTAAGCATAATCATAAACATATAGGATTTCCTGAATCCTTGCACTTCCCTCCCCCCCCTCCATGGATTCCATTGTCAATCTTTTTCAACTGCATTCCATTTTTACCATAGTTCTTGTTAGATTACAAGTGTTGTTACAATCCTGCCAAAGTTTTTAGTTGTTTACAGTGTTCTCCAAGGTAACTAATAAATGTTTCCCATACTTGTTAAAGTTTCTGTTTTCTTGGTTTCTAATTTTTTCAGACATTTTCGCCATTTCGGCGTAGTTCATCATCTTTATCAACCATTCTTCTCTGGTCACGACTTTAACTTCTTTTCATCTCTGGGCCAAAAGTATCCACGTTGCTGTCATTGCATACATGAATAATCTTTTCTGTTCTTTTGGTATTTCTGCACCTAAAATTCCTAGTAAAAAAAAGCTTCTGGGTTTTTTCCCCACAAAAGTTATTTTAAACATGTTTTTTTCAATTCATTGTATATCATTTCTCAGAATGCTTTCGTTATTTTACACATTCACCACATATGGAAGAAGGTGCCTTCTTCCTCCTTATATTTTCAACAGATATTTGAAGCATTTCTATACATTTTTGTTAGTTTAGTAGGTGTTAGATACCAATGATACATCATGCTGTAAATTTTAAATCTTCCCTCCATAACTTTTCCCAAGATGAAAATTGTATATTATGCCCAATATCTTTTGCCCATTGTATCATTACTGATTTAACTTCTTCATCTTTAGTATACCATTCTAGCAACAGCTTATACATTTTTGAAAGTAACTTCACATTATTTTCCAGTAAATCTTTTTCAAACCTTGAAATTTCCTTATTAAATCCATTCCTTTTATCCATGTTAAATATATCATTTAATTGGTAGTATTGTAACCTATCAGTTACTAAGTGTCTTATATCCTATTTTTTTTTCTTTTTAAGTGTTGTTCTACTTCCGTTAACAGCTCTTTATAGGTTGCCCATTCATTTTTTGCATTTAACTTTCAAGGATATAACTTCCAGTGGGAAGAACCACCATCTTGTAGTTTTTTTATAATATTTTGTTGATAAACCATCTGACCCTGGTGATTTACCTAATTTTGTTTGGTTAATTACCTGTTGCAGTTCCATTGTTGTTATTGGTGCATTTACATCATTAATTTTCTCTTTAGGAAATTTTGGTACATTATTCTGCTTTAAATATTCCACAATTCTGTCCTTATTTTCTTTACCGGCTAAATATAGCTCTGTGTAACGTCTTACAAACTGTCTTCAAAGAGAAGTCATTGGGTATTTTAAAATTTGTAAAACATTTATTTGAAAATAGTGGCTGAGGGTGTGGTTGGTTGTCTTTGGTTGGCTTTAGTGAGAGCTGTTTTTGTGTGTGAGCATGTATTTTTGAATCATGTTAGCCAGATTGATTCGTATGCTGTTGGCGGATTGTCGTTGTTCTCTTGTTGGGCTGTGTATGTGATAAAGGGGAACCAAACCTGGGTGAAGGCGTTTTCCTCTATTTGTCCCTGTGTCAGTTTCGGTTTCTCAAACTTCTTTTCTCTGGGCCACACTTTCAGAATAAAAATTACCTCGCACCACACTGAATTGTTTATTGATGAGAAATACATTGGAAAAGGGAAAGGAAAAACTCCCAGCAGTGCTTGATTTATAACATAGAACACAACTACTTCATAATATGCTCATGGGACATCCAGAAAGTATTAAGCAATGCAGCTACATAAGACCATGAACCATTCCCAAAACATAATACTCAGTGTCCTTGGATATTCTTGCCACACTTGTCATCCTCCACTGCCACACCAGTGTGGCACGCCACATCCTTTGACTCACAAGATATGCAGAAACATAGACCTTTAACTGAAATGACCAGAGCCACAAGGAGAACCAAGAATAAAAGTCTCCCTATTACATCAAGCAAAATGTTCAACCAATTCAAAGTTACTTATTCCTGGTGTCTAGAGAGACTGATGGGAGAGAGAGTTTTACAAATTTTTTTCTTTTTGGTATTCAAAAAAATCTCAGGAAACTGAGGCAAAGGGTTACCTGTGTTTTCACTTTCAAAAATTGGATATACTGTACTACTTTTCCTTGGCTCAGAATTACTTATGCGCTCATTCCAACTTAACTGAGAAATACAAATAACTAAGCCACACATTTGCTCTTTAAGCATTTATGAACTATTACCCTCCTCAAAGCCCCTTTCACCTCCTTATTTCTGAGACTGTAGATCAAGGGGTTCAACATGGGCGTAATTACCCCATAGAGCATGCTCACCATCCTGTCCTGGTCTGGATGGTGGCTGGAAGAAGGCCTTAAGTAAGTGAAGAGGATTGTGCCATAGAAGAGGCCCACTACCATAAGATGAGAGGCACAAGTGGAGAAGGCCTTACGCTTCCCCTCAGCAGAACGTATCCTAAGGATGGTGGAGATGATATGGATGTAGGAGACCAGCGTCACCAGAAAAGCCCCCACACCAAAAATCCCACCAACAATGAAGACAACCATCTCAGCCACATAGGTGGAAGCACATGATAAGGCCAAGACTGGAGGGATGTCACAGTAGTATTGATTGACTCTATTGGATCTGCAGAAAGGTAGAGTGAAAGTCAACACCGTGTGTAGAAGGGAGTTGAGGAACCCTGTGACCCATGTACCAGCAGCCATCTGAAGACACAGCTTCTTGCTCATGATGACCGTGTATCGCAGAGGGTTGCATATGGCCACATAGCGGTCATAGGCCATGACAGCCAAGAGGAAGACCTCTGTCCCTGCCAAGGCTATCAGGAAGTAGAGTTGCAGCACACAGCCAACAAAGGAAATGGTATTGCTCGCTGACAAGAGGCTCTCCAGCATCTTGGGCACCGTAGCTGTGGGGCAGCAGATGTCTAGCAGGGAAAGATTAGTGAGGAAGAAATACATGGGGTTGTGCAAATGAGAGTCAGCTGCTATGGCAAGCAAGATAGCACCATTTCCTATCAGGGTCACCAGGTAGATGAGCAAAAAGGCAGCAAAGAGGGAGAAGCGGACAGCTGGGAGATCAGAAAGTCCGGTTAGGATAAATTCTGTCACTAGGGTGCCATTCCCTATTTCACCATTCAGAAAGGAGCTTTCCTGGAAGAGTTTGGAAGCATAAGAGACACATGAAACATGTTGAATGCTGCAGACATAGTAGGGATTGAGATGAGCTCCAAGAGGATATCTCCAAATCAGGATTGTGAGAAATTAAATGGGAAAATACAATTCAATGTAAGAGAATGTGAAGGGATCCACACTGAGGCAAACGATCCAATATTCACATTTACCTCAATGGGGTTTGGACACTGGGTCAGCATCTTTACTGAGCCATCAATTTACAACCCCAAGGTCTCTTTCCTGGTCAGCCACTGGAAGTTGTGACCCCATGTGTAAATATGTGAGGTTAAGATTTATTCATTTTTTATTTTGCACCAACATGCATCACTTGTTTACATTTACAGTGGTACCTTGGGTTACATACGCTTCAGGTTACATACGCTTCAGGTTACAGACTCCGCTAACCCAGAAATAGTACCTCGGGTTAAGAACTTTGCTTCAGGATGAGAACAGAAATTGTGCTCCAGCGGCGTGGCGGCAGCAGGAGGCCCAATAAGCTAAAGTGGTGCTTCAGATTAAGAACAGTTTGAGGTTAAGAATGGACCTCCGGAACAAATTAAGTACTTAACCCGAGGTACCACTGTAATTGTATTTCCGATTTTATTTCACTCGGTTTGAGTAGGTCCTTCGGAGCTCTTTGCAATCACTTTTTTTTTTAATGGCACTGAACAATTAGTATCATTAACAAACTTGGCCACCTCAATTCTCACACCTGACACCTCATCACTTAGGAACAAGATTAAAAGCACAGGTCCCAATACCAAACCTTGGGGGACTCCACTTTCTGAAACTCTCCAGTAGGAGAAGTGTCCATTTAATCCTTTGCTTTCTTCTATTTAACCAATTCCTGATCTGCAAGAGTGTTTACCACCTAGCCAGCTGGAGCATTCTGGAGAACTCAAAGATTTGCTTTCCATTCCATAACGTTTTGTTTGGCCTAATAAAGCCTTTGTTCTAAACAGGATTTTTGAATTTTTCTGTGAGAATTCTCATCTAAGGCATCTTTCTATTCACCTGAACATCCTTTCCAGAACATTCCATGTACCACTCCCATACCATATAACCTTGCCATTGAGGAGCCTTGCTCCTCTCTGTACTAGCTAAGGGCTTATCTGCACTCACCTTTCCTCCGCTCTTTCCAGTCACGGTTCCCACTTTAAAGTTCCACGTCCAAGCATTTTTTATTATTATTATTCCAGAACTTTGCCTGTAAAAGCCAACTCTCTAAAGCTCAGTAGGAGCAGACAGCAATCTGTGGAGAACCCAAATTGATATTTGCTCCGATTGAGCACTGAAGAGTAGGTTTCCACAGGGGAACTCTGAAGCAAAAAAAACCCTCCGCAGCTTTTAAGCACTGACCTGTGCCTGGAAAGAGTGGAGCAATAGGCAAGTGTTCCCCGCTTCCTGCATCCTTGAGCTTCATCATAACAGCCCCATTAAGCCAATAGCTAATACACACTTGCAATGACTGGCGCATATTCATTCCTCCAAAGGTCTCACTTAAGAATGCCTCTTATCCGCCTTGAGATCAAGGAAGAGTCTGTTCCTCCAACAGCCCAGCCTTTCACTTTAAGTCCCAGCATGAGGAGCACAAGGGAATAGCAGGTGATGGAGCTCTGCCTCAGTGCCAGCAAACATCTCTTTATGTTTCCAATGACCAATGATAAGACAAAAAGGTGTGCTTGATTTCCCAGCACAATAAGCTGCGGCCCTGGGAAAATTATTCATTCCAGAAGCTGCTCCCTGTAATGTTAAGGGAATGCAGTCTGTGTTTTATGTATTCAAGTTCACCAAAGTCAGAAGCAGTTCTGGTCCACATTCCCCCCCCCCAAAAAAGGGGGGAAGTTCAGGAGCTGTAAAGACTAGTCCTTCAGGTTGTTGAAGAGAGATTTTTTTTGTAGGCTTTTATCATGTCTTGTGTGCAGAGGCGTACCTAGGCTTCCTTGTACCCTTCACAAGGACCTGTATTGGGGCCTCTGAAGCCGGAATAGAATGGGGACAAGAAACTCAAAAAGGTTTCTTTTCATTTCCTTTCGGGGCAGATTTGAAGGTAAACCATACACAGCACGGGTCTGCCCTTGTGGCTCGTTGGAAGTTGAAACTGCTTCACATGTACTACTACATTGTCGTCTTTATGAGGATATACGTTTGACTTTTATTACACCTGTTTTGCAAAAGTCCAGGAAAGAATCGAAACACCATAGTTTAAAACTACTGCTAGAGGACAAGAATCCCAAGACTACATTAAATGTAGCCAAATTCTGTGTGTCTGCAATTAATCGCAGGAAGCAAGTGGTATCCCATAATGACCAAACCCCTAAATGTTAATTACAGGGGGGCATGCCAATAATTAATTTTAATTTTTTATATTTAAATCCTTGTTATATTCAAATTGTCCTCTGTATTTCTGATTTTTTTTTTTTTGATCTGTGGTATTGTGTGTGTTGATGCTGGTCTGTGACCGTATTAATAAATTCATTCATTCATTCATTTCCTTTCATGCCCCACCAGTGACTTTCCCATGGTAATCACGGTCTGGGCTGCTTCCCCTCCTCCTCCTCCATCGGCCCATTTTCTGAGCATGCAGGCAGGCTCCTAGCCACTCTGAGCCAGAGTGGAGAGTCACGGTTTTTGTGCTCCCCCTGGCCCTGACCTGACCAACTCCTAGGTGCACCCCTGCATGTGTGTTTGAGTTTGTTCTAAATAAATTAGTTTGGCCAGCATCCCTCCTGTAAAGAGTGCATCTTACGCTCCCCACAGTTCAGCTACTTCCCTCACAAGCTTAAAAGGCCGCACCTAGGGAGCCTGAAACCAAGCCCAGTCTATGTATTTTGAGTCCTTACAAACAAGTGTCTACAGATGCAGCTCAGTCAACTTCTGAATGAGCCCCAGAGCAGTTATAAAACTGTGAGGAGATTATGTTGAAGCAGTTATGGAAACAGTTATGGAAGGTCATTGCTAAGGGTAATGAATGTCTACAAAAAAAATTACATATCACTTGGGAAGATAGGCGAACTAACGCCAATGTACTGTAAGAAGCAAAGATCACCAGTGTCGAAGCAATAATTCTTCAATATCAACTTCGTTGGACTGGTCATGTTGTGTGGATGCCTGGTGATCGTCTTCCAAAGCAACTACTCTATTCCGAACTTAAAAATGGAAAGCGTAATGCTGGTGATCAACAAAAGAGGTTTAAAGACTGTCTCAAAGCAAATCTAAAAAAATGTAGTATAAACACTAACAATTGGGAAATATTGTGAGCACTCCAACTGGAGAACAGCCTTTACCAAAGATGTTGTGGGCTCTGAAGGCGCTCGAACTCAGGATGAAAGGGAGAAACATGCTAAGAGGAAGGCACACTTGGCAAACCCTCACCATGATCAACTTCTATCCAGAAACCTACGTTCCCCACTGTGGAAGGACGTGTGGATCCAGAATTGGCCTCCACTGTCACTTGCGGACTCACTGTTAAAACTGTGTTTATGGAAGACAATCTTACTCAGCTACGAGTGATCGCCAAAGAAATAAAGAAGCAGCCATCTCCAGCTTCTCTACTTAGGGCTTATCCACATTTACCTTTTGTCTTGCACTTTCTAGGCAACAGGTCCTCACTTTCCCAGTCCATATCCAAGCAAAGGATGCTTGTGTTTTGGTCTCGTGCTCTCATGTGAATCAGCTCCTTCCTGCGAGAGCTCAGAACCAGAAAACGAGGGTCCTGATTTTGATCAGCAAGATGTTGGAGGTATGCAATGCACAAGTGCACCATGACCTCTCTCTTGCCCCTCTGTGCCTGGCAAGAATTATAGTTAATAATTTGTCTGCTTTGTCATGTTTCTCCCAATGAACCTCGATTACTGTATCTGAAAAACCATGATCCATCTCCATTGTTCCCCAAAGTACCTAACAGGGGCATTCTGTGGTGCAGATTAAATGATCAGAGCATTACCTACACTTACCTCCTTTTGGTATTCTGGTTAGGGTGCTGGTTGGGTCATCTCTACCAAACCAACCATAATTTGTCATCTAGTAACACAGAGCCAGAATCTCTGTGGGAGGCAGTTCCCCTAGCATAGGGGTGGGAACCTGTAGCTCTCCAGATGTTGTAAGACTTCCAACTCAGATCAACCTCAGCCAGTGTAGCTGAAGGTTAGGAGTTATAGGATTCATAATCCCACAGCATCTGGGTTGCCCTGCCCCTGCCTTAACCCGGCATTTGAGCTCAATTCCTTGCAGTATTTATGTTTCCTGAACACAGGGAAGCAGCTTGGGGCTATTTAGAGGCACATGTCCTCAGCAAGTGTGGTAAGAATTTAGATGAAAACAGGTTTTCTGTCAGAAAAGTTTTATTCAAAAGTTTATTATATGGGTGGTGCCCTGAGGTACCATCCCAGCGACAATCACTTTTTACATTCCACACAACATAGTTTCCTACCCATGGTTTTCATCAAGGCCACTTTGACCTCCTTGTTCCTCAAACTGTAGATTATGGGGTTCAACATGGAGGTCACAACTGTGTAGAACAGGGCCAGCAGCTTGTCGCTCGACGCCGAGTAGCTGGATTTGGGCCTAAGGTACGTAATGATGCCTGAACCGTAGAACAGGGAGACAACGATGAGATGGGATGAGCAAGTGGAGAAGGCCTTGCGCCTGCCCTCGGCTGAGGGCGTCCTCAAAATAGAGGTGATGATGTATACATAGGACGTGAGGATCAGAAGGAAAGGGGCCGTGATGAAAAGTACAGCCACCATATAGACTGCAACAACGTTCATTGAAGTATCGCCACATGCTAGCGTCAGGAGAGGAGGGATGTCACAGAAGAAGTGGTTGATCCTGTTGGGCCCGCAGTAAGTCAGGCTAAAGACATAGTTCGTTTGACCCAGTCCAACCATCACTCCCACCGACCATGAGGCCACTGAAAGCTGGGCACAGACGCCTCGGTTCATGACAACACTGTACCGCAGTGGGTTGCAAATGGCCACATAGCGGTCGTAAGCCATAGCAGCAAGGAGACAGCATTCCGTGATGCCAAAGAGAGTGAAAAAGTACATCTGGGTAGCGCAGCCCCAGAGAGAGATCCTCCCATTCTCAGACAACAGGTTAGCCAGCATCTTGGGGACAATGGCTGTGGTGTAGCATATTTCCAGCAGAGACAGGTTCGTCAAGAAGAAGTACATGGGGGTGTGGAGGGCCGGGTTTAACTTGATCACGGTGGTGATGATGGAATTCCCTGCGAGCGACACAGTGTACATGGAAAGGACCAGTGCAAAAAGGAGCATTCGCAGGTGCGGCAGCCCAGAGAAACCGACAAAGATGAACTCGCTCACCAGGGAAGAATGATTGGACATGGACCGCAACAGAGAATGACTCAGCTGCAGAAGATCAGAGACATAGATGGGGAAAGCTAGCCAGTCGCAAATGATCTACAGTTCTCTTCCCGTTGCTTAGCACAGGGCTTACCCACACTTGCCTTTGCCTCTCTGTCCAGCAAAGTTCTGTGTCCAAGAGCTTTTCCCACAAAAAACCCCTGCTCTTCAGGATTCAATCAGAGCAAACATCAATTCAGGTTATCTGCGGGTTGCTGTTTGCGCTGATTGAATTTTAAAGAGCGTGTTTTTGCGGGGAAAGCACCAGAGTGGCAGGAAAAGGGTGCTTGGACGCTGTGCTTTAAAGTGTGGGCCATGCCTGGAAAGAGCAGAGGAAAAGTGGATAAGCCCTGGCAGAGGTTTCAGGACTTAATTTGACTCATCTGACACACACACTCTGACTTGGAAGTCCCCCCTTTTAGCGTCAGATGTATGGGGTTGCGGTGTGGGGCTAAGGTGAAGAAAATATACACACACAAGATTTCAGCAGGAAGTTACGGGGTGAGCAAAGTTTGGGAACAAAGCAGCATGTCCTCTTCAAAACTTTTGTGGGAGCAAATAGTATTGAGAGCAGCATCACATATAACCACGGCAGTACCCCAATGAGCACAAATAAACATGAATGCACAACAGAGGGGACTTTGAAGGATCCCATGAATTGAATATGCTGCGGATCTTCCCCATGCAAGGAACACATTTTGCCACTGCTCAAAAGAAAGCCTGATACCTGCACCTTGGGAAACAAAACTGTTCACTAACCAGGCATCTAATCTGGAAAGAAAAGGCATCTAACATGTTTCTTTCCCATAAAAACTGACCTGTGGAAGACCTCTGATCATCCTATGTGACAGTCGGTGTTTTCAGGATGGGGAAGGCAGAGCTAACACGTTTTTCTGTTTACAAAAATGAGCTGGTTGATACTTCTGGAAAGCTCACGGGGAGGACACGAAGACAGGAGCTCAGCTGCATTGTTTGTCCCCAGTACCTGATCTTCTCCAGAAGTAGACTGCATCTAAACGTGGAGATCATGTTTTGCAACCAAGACTAACAGCTGTGGATAAACCCAGCTTCTGTTAACTTGCCTAATATTTGAACTATCACATCTTGCTACACTGGAATTACCCCGAGGCAATTTTTAAAACTCAAAATGAAGTTCTGAAATCAAGTTTTGACTGATCAATCAATGCATACTTTACAGCCTTAGCGGGTGACTCAGTGGAGCATTTGCCAAGGCTGGCTGCAATGCCAAACCAATTTGTGGGAAAACACTAATCTCCAAATGAACTATAGAAGGCAAGTTCTGCTGAAGGAAGCCATTTGGGCCTGTTGCTCTCCAGATGTTCTTGGATTACAAATTCCATCATCCCTGATGGCTGGCCATGCTAGCTGGGAGTACTGAGAACTGAAGTCCAGCAACATCCGCCCAGCAGCAGGTTGCCTCAAGCAAGATTTTTAAGCTGAACGTTATTGCACTCAGATACAGTGCATATAGCATTATTCTCTTATTTTGAGTTGGTTTCCTGTAAAATTCTGTGTGAGTGACTATCGCACTATAGTGGGCGCTATATGTGTGTTGTTTCAGAATGCATCATAATCATTCCAGAAATCTGGAAGGAGTAAAACGGCTCTTACGTCTACCAAGCATCCAAACAAGCAACACCCAAACTGATGCCTCCCAAGAGCAGATGTAAATAGAACAGATCAAGGAAGAACTGAGCCACAAATGCCTTTAGAAAGGTGCACTGATGCTAAAATTTAAACAACACTCTCCCTGTTCAGACACACAGACAACTTGCACTCACCTCTGAAAACATGACCCAACCCATCATCTGAGGAGAAGCCTCCAGGCTGATCTGACTGATACCTTTCTACCATCACATCTTCCTCACCTGAGGTGTCATCAGTAGACCCACACCCTCCCTTTCCCAGAAGCATCCAGGTATAACAAGTCTCTTTGGGTACAGTTTCTGCAGGGATCTGGCCCTCCAGCTCCCTTAGATGCTTGTCAGACAAAGCTGTGCTGTTGGCAATTGTCTGAGGACACCATTTCACTTCGTCCTGTTTACAAGAAGAGAAAGGAATCTGAGCAGCCCGGAAAGGAGGGCCGCCTCTGTACCTCCAGAAGTTCTTGAACTCCATCTCCCATCAGCCCCAGCCAGCACAAGCCAACAGTCGGGGATGATGGGAGCTGTAGTTCAAACACCTGGATGGGCCGCAGGTTAGCCACACCTGCTCCAGAGTTGCCAATATCTTTGACAGAGAGTAAGCTAGGGAGACTAGGGACACAGGTGGCGCTGTGGGTTAAAGCCTCAGTGACTAGGACTTGCCGATCGAAAGGTCGCCGGTTCGAATCCCCACGGTGGGGTGCGCTCCCGCTGCTCGGTCCCAGCGCCTGCCAACCTAGCAGTTCAAAAGCACCCTCGGGTGCAAGTAGATAAATAGGGACCGCTTACCAGCAGGAAGGTAAACAGCGTTCCGTGTGCTGCGCTGGCTCGCCAGATGCAGCTTTGTCACGCTGGCCACGTGACCCGGAAGTGTCTCCGGACAGCGCTGGCCCCCGGCCTCTTGAGTGAGATGGGCGCACAACCCCAGAGTCTGGCAAGACTGGCCCGTATGGGCAGGGGTACCTTTACCTTTACCTTTAAGCTAGGGAGACTAATCCTGGCTTTGCAGGTATCTGCTTTTGCACACACACACACAGGGCTCACTGCAATTAACAGGAAACATTTTATTCCAATGGCAAAACATTTCAACTTCTGCCTTCCTCTGCTGCTAAAATAAAAAATGAAATGATGCTGTTGTCAAGGTGGCAGTTTTGGAGATGTTCAGAAAGGCATCGTTCGCTGAAGCTACGGGATGTTGGTGCTGCCCTCTCCAGGCTGAGGTCATGTGGCTTTAATGTGTCTTGCATGTACATTTAGAACAGGCTTCCTCAACCTCGGCCCTCCAGATGTTTTGGGACTACAATTCCCATCATCCCTGACCACTGGTCCTGCTAGCTAGGGATCACGGGAGTTGTAGGCCAAAAACATCTGGAGGGCCAAGGTTGAGGAAGCCTGATTTAGAGGTTTCCCCCTCTTTGCTAAAGTAGGAGGATCAGTTGGTGTCTCTAAATCTGACAGTCCGTGGTTCCCATTTCAGAACTGAAACGTTTAGCTTCTGGCTGCTCAACCTCTTCAGTCAAAATTGCGGATGTGTGGCTTCTAAAACATGAGCATAGGTCATTTGTCGTTTTATACTTGTCCAGAGCTTCATCGTTTACTTTCAGGTCTCTTTTCTGCCCTCCCTCCCTCGTCCTATATCACTATCCTTATCTGTGCCAATATTTCCTTCAAGGCAGTGCCCCACGTTCTGATACACCACAGAACAATGCAAGTTCCTATTATACCTTTATAATAATAATAATAATTTATTATTTATACCCCACCCATCTGGCTGGGTTTCCCCAGCCACTCATAATAATAATAATAATAATAATAATAATAATAATAATAATAATAATAATAATAGAGCAATAAAACATCAAACATTAAAAACTTCCCTAAACAGGGCTGCCTTCAGATGTCTTCTAAAAGTCCTTATTTCCTTGACATCTGATGGGAGGGCATTCCACTGGGCGGGCGCCACTACCGAGAAGGCCCTCTGCTTGGTTCCCTGTAACTTTGCTTCTCGAGTTAGGGAACCGCCAGAAGGCCCTCGGAGCTGGGCCTCAGTGTCCAGGCTGGATGATAGGGGTGGAGACACTCCTTCAGGTATACTGGACCGAGGCCGTTTAGGGCTTTAAAGGTCAGCACCAACACTTTGAATTGTGCTCATTCTTTCCTTGGGAAACTCAGAGCAACTTTGCATGGGGCGCCAGTGGTTTCCTAGCCAGGCACCACCTGGTCCAAGCCAGGCACCACTCTAATCCAGCAACCCAACATAAATTAAGACCGTTTGCAAATCAAACAGGGTCCTGGCAGGGCTTGATGGGACTTCCAGGTATGGCCCTTGCTATGCCCGCGGGGACAGGAGGTGGAGGGCTTCGCCGTTGAGCCCGTCCTTGTTGACTCCAGGGCTGAACATGGGGTAGAGGCACTCGGAGAAGATGTCCGAAAAGGTGTAGATGTGGAGCATGGTGTCAGCATCGTAGAAGGAGACCTGCCCCGCTTCATAGTCCAGGTAGACCCCGACTTTCTGGGGCTTGTCCTTGAGGGACAACAGCTTGGGGGGAGACTCAAGGGCCTTGTATTCACTACCGTTCCTCAGCCAGATGGCCCAGAATCCATTGCTGGGCTTGACTTTCACTTTGGCTTCCTTCCTGTTGACGGACTCCTTGGCCACGCCAATGTCCCAGCTGGTTTTATTCCTCACCTCTACTTCCCAGTAATGGCGTCCTGAGGTAAATCCCTGAGAGCCCAGCACACACACGCACTTGCTGAACCTCTCGGGCCCGTCAGGGACCTCGTCCTCAGGGTTGTCTTCCAGACGAACGCTATGAAGGTCCTTAGAGAGCACAAGGTTGGGGTGGTTGGTGGCAGGATCCAAGGTGATTTGACAGGGAGCTGTTGGGATACGACCGACGTAATGGTTACCGACACCTTACATTACATTCAGAAATGTTGGATGCAGGAGAGATCTACACTAAACAGACTGTCCATTTTTTACCTCAGAGGTACCAAAAGGAGTTTCTGGGCCCAGCACACCGCATGTGCATCAGGCACGCCACCCTTCTCACACAAAGAGGACACGTATCTGTGTATCCTTTGCATCACATACAAATTCGTATTGTCTTTGGCAAGTAGGGTAGAGGGCCCAGTGATAAATCAGGGGCCACACACAACAAGACAAACAGAGGACTCAGCTACATTACTCAAAATGCTGCGTTATAAATGCGTTATAACACTGTGACACCGGATGGGACTGTAGAGCTAAAATCGCAACTCAGTGATATTCTCAATTGTGAGCTTTACAGTGGTTTCTTGCAGAGCGTTTTCACAGTGGTTTTTTTATAGCTGTGT